TCATATGCTAATATGTCACAGGTGTCGGAGCTGCTTCAGAAGGTGGATCGGCTGGTCGAGCGTAATAAAGGATCTCATTACACCGCAGACAGGCTCCTGCAAGCCCAGGCGGACATTCTGCAGATCCAGCAGAGGATTTTGGGAGAGGGGGCGGGGCCTGTGGCTGAAGGGCGGAGTCAGGACGCTGAGGAGGAGGAGTCTAGGAGGAGGGCGGAGCGTGTGTTCTGGTACGAGCTGCTGACGGCGGTGGGCCGTGGGGCGGTGGAGGGGTCAGGGGTGATGGAGAAGGGGAAGGGCAAAGGGAAGAAGGTGAAGGCGGTGCAGAGGGCGGCGGCCATCGCTGCCACACCGCTGTCAATCAACACCGCTGCTAAAGTTGTGGGTGGAGCCATGAGGGAAGGGGCCAAAATACTGGACAAACATAAGAAGACATTCCTGCGCTGACACACATACAGTACACACACACACACACACACACACACACACACACACACACATACAGCTGAAGACTAAATCCTTCAGCCTCAAGTGACAATTGTATTCATTGTTTATTGTGTTTAATAAATCGTCTCACCATTAAACAGAACCCTACTGAAAAAAACAGCTTAAACCAGCCTAGGATGGTTGGCTGGTTGGCTGGTTTTAGCTGGTCGACCAGGCTGGTTTTAGAGGGGTTTTGGCCATTTCCAGGCTGCTTTCCAGCCATTTCCAGCCTGGTTTTAGCTGGTCAAGCTGGTTGGAAAATGACCAGCTTAATCCAGCTAAAACCAGCTTGACCAGCCTGGTTTAAGCTGGATATAGCTTGTTTTGGCTGGGCTCCCAGCCTGGCTTGGCTGGTCAAGCTGGTTTTTGCTGGTCATCTCCCAGCCTGACCAGCTAAGACCAGGCTGGAATGGCTGGAAACCAGCCTGGAAATGGCCAAAACCCCTCTAAAACCAGCCTGGTTAACCAGCTAAAACCAGCCAACCATCCTAGGCTGGTTTAAGCTGTTTTTTTCAGTAGGGTTCTGTTTAATGGTGAGACGATTTATTAAACACAATAAACAATGAATACAATTGTCACTTGAGGCTGAAGGATTTAGTCTTCAGCTGTATGTGTGTGTGTGTGTGTGTGTGTGTGTGTGTGTACTGTATGTGTGTCAGCGCAGGAATGTCTTCTTATGTTTGTCCAGTATTTTGGCCCCTTCCCTCATGGCTCCACCCACAACTTTAGCAGCGGTGTTGATTGACAGCGGTGTGGCAGCGATGGCCGCCGCCCTCTGCACCGCCTTCACCTTCTTCCCTTTGCCCTTCCCCTTCTCCATCACCCCTGACCCCTCCACCGCCCCACGGCCCACCGCCGTCAGCAGCTCGTACCAGAACACACGCTCCGCCCTCCTCCTAGACTCCTCCTCCTCAGCGTCCTGACTCCGCCCTTCAGCCACAGGCCCCGCCCCCTCTCCCAAAATCCTCTGCTGGATCTGCAGAATGTCCGCCTGGGCTTGCAGGAGCCTGTCTGCGGTGTAATGAGATCCTTTATTACGCTCGACCAGCCGATCCACCTTCTGAAGCAGCTCCGACACCTGTGACATATTAGCATATGACGTTAGTCTTGTTTTAGTATCTGCCGCTATGCTGACACACAGGCATTTGTAGCTCCGCCTCTTTCTGAGAAGAGCACAATCTCATTAGAATTTAAAGCGGCAGTCACCAAAATAAAGCGCACACACATACACTCAGCAGACCTCAGAGTAAACAGGGCAGAATCGGTCACTATAACGTACCCTTTCCCGCAGCTTAGCTAAACGTCATGATAATACCGTATATTATCAATCCGATAATATACCGTATATTATCAATCCGATAATTTTCGGAAAGCAATCCGAAATGAAGCAAATCTGCCAGTGTGGTCATAGCCTTACCTGTGACCTGTCCTCGTGAGCTTTAGTGTTGTCGAAGACGTGGAATCCCCCGGCGCACTCGCTCACAAACTCCCATAGCTCCGAGCTCTCCTTCAGGAAGTCCTCCTCCGGTTTGGAGCCGAGCGCGTCTCCGCATGTGAGTAAGACGATGGTGTGTGTGAGCGCGTGCGGGCCGAACGTGGCGCGGGTGCAGTGCAGAGACGCGCACTGCTCCGGGGTCAGCCTGCAGGGCCGCAGCACCAGCACAAACACATGCGGCCCCGGGGCCAGCAGATCCACACTGCGACTCAACTCAACGCGCACTTCCTCCGGGCTTAGGCAGGTGTGGAAAAAGCCCGGGGTGTCAATCACCTGCAGGCTCCGCCCCTCAACCACACCCCCTGCCCTCTGACACCGGCTGGTGACCGACACCGAGGACGTGTCCGTCCAGAACGCAGAACGTCCCAGGAGTGTGTTTCCAGCAGAACTCCTCCCGGAGCCGGTCACACCCAGCAGGACCATTCGGAGATCAGAGCCGTCTGACACACACACACAGAGACACATCACGCTGTGCTGACAGAGATGAAGACTAGCTGTGATGCATTTGTTTACGTCAAGTTGTCTTTGCAGTTAAAAGGTCATAAGTGACCGGATGACACTTAATAAGAGCTGTCATAAGCATGCATGAAATCACATCCACAGTGTTGGGAGTAACTAGTTACATGTAGCGGCGTTACGTAAATTAATTACAAAATACAAGTAACTAATTTAATACAGTTACTGAGAAAAAGTGAGTAACTAAATTACAGTTACTCATGAACATGTTAAAGATTACAGATGTGGTGTCATCTGAATATGTTGACTAATAATAATGCGTTGCTTTGCCTGTTTAATGCATGATACCTTCTGCTAAGACCATTTATTAAAGCGCTGCAATTCCAAACGCAGAAGAAGCGTCAAGCGCGAGTGATTTTCATGTTAAATCAATGCAAACCCTGCTGAGAAATCCAGCTTACACCAGCCTAGGCTGGTTAGCTGGTTTTAGCTGGTCGACCAGGTTGGTTTTAGATGGGTTTTGGCTACTTCCAGGCTGGTTTCCGGCCATTTCCAGCCTGGTCTGGGAGATGACCAGCTAAATGAGGCACAACCTGTGATGAAATAATTAAATTCACTGATGTTTACCAATGTTTCATCCATTATTAGAAGTAATAGGCCAGATCTGGGCCAGAATAAAAGCAAACTGTGGCCCAGGATAGGGTCAGTTCTGGTTTATGTGGTTGAATTCTGGCTAATATGCGGTATTGCTTTGGCTTAATTGTGGCCCAGATCTGGCAAACAGGAGCGGACCGGCCTAGAGCCATCATTCCATTCAGTATGTGGTCCAGATGTAAGTGTCTGGTGTGGGCCAGAATAAAAGCAAACTATGGCCCAGAATAGGGTCAGTTCTGGTTTATTTGGTTGAATTCTGGCTAATATGGGGTATTGCTTTGGCTTAATTGTGGGCCAGATCTGGCAAACAGGAGCGGACCGCCCAAGTGCCATCATTCCATTTAGTATGTGGTCCAGATGTAAGTGTCTGGAGTGGGCCAGAATAAAAGCAAACTATGGCCCAGAATAGGGTCAGTTCTGGGTTTTTGGATTGAATTCTGGCTAATATGGGGTATTGCTATGGCTTAATTGTGGGCCAGATCTGGCAAACAGGAGCGGACCGCCCAAGTGCCATCATTCCATTTAGTATGTGGTCCAGATGTAAGTGTCTGGAGTGGGCCAGAATAAAAGCAAACTATGGCCCAGAATAGGGTCAGTTCTGGTTTATTTGGTTGAATTCTGGCTAATATGGGGTATTGCTTTGGCTTAATTGTGGGCCAGATCTGGCAAACAGGAGTGGACCGCCCAAGTGCCATCATTCCATTCAGTATGTGAGCCGGATTTGAGTCACATGAGTTTTGCTTGCTGGGCAGCGTCATGAACTTGTTCTTTTTTCCCCATTACATATCAGATTGTAAATATGTATATTTTTAATAGAAAGCAAATATTTGTGTTCAAAAATACAAATAATGAGAATGTGATATAAAGTCTCAAGTGGCTCGTGGGTATTTAATAAGGTTTAGCTTATTTCATGTGTGTAAACAGCACAATTAGTGATTTTCAACATTGTATAAACAGTTATTTTCCACATGGTGTCAAATGTTAGCGACATCTTAATTTAACTAATTTGTATTTACAACAAATATTCTTTCAAAAAAATATGTCTGTGCAATAGCCTAGTGGTTACTGTGTGGACATATGGTGCAGTAGCACATTAGGGCGTTCTGAGTTCGAATCCTGGCTCGAGGACATTTCCCTGCCCTACTCTCTTTCACTCTCTCCCAAAATTTGCTTCCTGTCTAAAT